CAGATGAAGGAGAGGAGGGAGTCCACCTCGTTTTGGACAATGAGCCGCACTGGGTGGATGCTGTCAGGCAGGGCCAGGCTGGAGGTCATTTCCCAGGCATCCACAAAGGCCACACGGAGGTCAGCAAAGGCAGCTCGGAGGAGCCGGTTCACCTGGAGGGTGAACCAGTCACTGCCATACACGGACTTGTAGCCAGTGTTGGCCAGTTTGATGACCACAAGAGTGTGGGGCTCCCGGGCCAGCAGCGCAGCCACAGCTGCCCGGATCCCTGCCAGTCGCTGTGCAAAGACGGATGGAGGGAAGGTGGTGAAGTGTGCGCCCAGCCCCAGCACCACCACGGTGTGGGGCCCCCCAGCCAGGCCTCCCAGCTCCTGGACCACAGAGTGCAGGGAGGCCACTGGTGTGCGGAGGGAGCGCAGGGGCCAGCCGTGGGCCCGCCAGTGCAGCACTATGTTCCGCGTGGTCTCTACGGCCATCAGGGGCCCTGTCTGATACGTGACGTGTAGATCCACCGGCTTCAGGGCTGTAGGGAGGACAAGAGAGGACGTTTAAGGGTTAATATGGGATTGTGTACCATCCTCTTGTACAAATGAAAATAGTAGTCCCCACTTCCCAGGACATAAGCATTCTGTCTCTAAAACCTAATGCACCCCTGCCCCCAAGTTTCAAGGTTGCCCAGCTCATTACTGAAGTTTCAAGGTTGCCAAGGATCTCATTACTGTCCTTCCAAACACCTCTGCAGTGTGCTTTTATTTCTCTACAGTATTTGACTTCCCTCTGCTGGGTGACCTCTTTTACAAACCTTTGCTTGCCTTCTGTAACACTACATCACCCCATTCCCCCGCCCCTCTGGTCACTCTTTGCTCAACTATTTGCTTCATGTTTTCCTTGCACTGTGTACATGAGGCATTCCCTAAAATTCTGTCATTATCATCCACTTTTCCTTACTATCTATATCTTAGGGAATTCATTCATTTCTACCTCTTCAGTTTTTGACTAAGAGCTAATGGCTTGCTGAGCTTCGATTCCACACTTCCAATTTCCCAATCAATGTTTTCTCTCTAATGATCCGCCATGGCCCTGAACTTTGCACATTGCCTTGGCAAATGAATCTACCATTTCTGCACAAATCTCTCTCCACATCCTGAACCTCCCCCTACTGCCCCACACCTGTCAGCTATTGTTGTTGGTGACTTTCTAATGTTTTATTGTTTTTTCCTTAGCTTTCCATGGGGAGGCCTTTAGTCATAGCTGATACCTCTCTGTGTCTCAATCTGAAGTCAAATAACTCATCAAATCCTATTTATTATTCATTTTTAAGGTTTCCTATGTCTAACTCCTGCATCCAACTTTTAGCTCAGGCTCTTAATAACTCTTGGCTACACGAATTTTTACAAGTACAAATTGGCACTGTTCTGGCACCTTTGTATACAATGTGAAAAAGAGACCAATGTCCTTGCCCTCATGGAGCTTACTGTTGAGAAAGAGAGAGAGAGAGAGAGAGAGAGAGAGAGAGAGAGAGAGAGAGAGAGAGATATTTCCTGTGTAGAAGGGAGGATGGAGATTTTGAGGAACTTAAAGAAGGATGGTGCTCCTGGAGCAGAATGTATGGCACGAGGTGAGGTTAGAGATATAGGTGCAGTCTGGTCATATAGTCCCTGACCATCATGTCAATGATTTTTATTTTTGTACCAAGGAAAATTAGAGTCCATTGAAGGTGAGTAGCATGATGCAACTTACATTTTAAAAAGCTCGTGCTTGCTCCTTTGTGAAAACCTGGGATGGAGGCAGGGGTACTAAGAAGTGAAATGGGAAGCCCAGTTTAAAGGACTTTTTAACAGGCCAAGATGGAGAGAAGTAATGATAGAGGCAAGAGGGTGTTGTACATTAGCTCTCTAGAACTTATTCATCCTGAATCATTGAAACACATATTTTTTTTTATGTAGACAGGATTAGAAAATTAATTGGATACTAATTTCTGGTTTTAGCAATTGGGAGATAATGATACTATGCTTTAGGAAGTCTGAATTATATTTTAGTGACTGGGGAAGGAGGACAGTGATCCAAAAGTTAGTGCTATATTGAATTTTTGTACGCTTGAGAGCATTAACATGGAGATATCAAATTGGTATTTGGAGTTCAGAAGGGAGATATGGACCAGAAAGGTAAATTTGTAATTCATTATAATTACATATGGCATTGGAGCCATAGGAATGGGCAAAATCATTTAAGAAGATGATAACAAGGAAGAAAAGAAGAGGGTCCAAGAATAACTTCAAAAATTTTTATTATTTAGATAATGAGTAGAGGAGGAGGAGATTGAGAAGGAAAGACCAGAAAAATAAGAGGAAAACAATTACAAGTAGTGATAGGAAAGTCAATATAATAAAATGCTTCTACTTGAATGGGTTATATTTCTCATTTATTCAATTAAGACAAAAATCCAAACCAAACAACATAGGCTGTTGAAGCTATGAGGTTAATTTGTTCATTGTTGTTGGGCATATAAGATGGGGACTTTTGGCAATATCAAATAATTTACTTTGTATTTACTATTTGACACATACAACTACTAGGAGTCTATCCTATAGAACTACTTCAACAAATAACAAACACCGTATGATGAGTTTATTCATAGTGGCATTGGTTATAATAGCAAAAATTTGAAAAGGACCAGGTGTCTAGAAATAAGGAATGTTCATACAATGAGTCTTATACAGCAATAAAACAGAATGTACTGATAAAGGGATATATCCCAAATATACCAAGAGGGGGGAAAGGTGCAGAATATGCTATGCTATGTGTTACCTTTTGCTAATGATGCATTGTGATACCCATCATACCCTGATGAAAACAACTGAAAAAAATAATGAAAAAAGTTTTAAAAATTATCATGAGAGAAGAAGGAAAGCATAGGAGATTAAAGAGATAGATTAGGACTGATTCTGGACTGTGGTTATTTGTGAGTAAAGATAGCAGAGATATGAAGCTCTGCTTTTGCCATTCTCAAGAGTTGGTGGTGTGCTGTCTTTGGAGATTGTCATGTCATGAATTTGTCATGCCTATGTGAATTCCCCTTGCACAATTATTAAACTTTTATTTTCTCCTGTTTAGAAAGAAAAAGTTGGTGTGAACATGGATCAAAGTCCTTTGGCACTCAAGGAGAAAAACTTTAGTGAAATACTTTCTGCTTTTGGCTGAGACTCTAATAACTCACTTGGAGCCCTAGTTGGTTTGGCTCAGTGGATAGAGCATCGCCTGTAGACTGAAGGGTCCCAGGTTCGATTGTGGTCAAGGGCACATTGAGCCGGGTGGGTGCAGGAGGCAGCCGGTCAATGATTTACTCTCACCATTGATGTTTCCATCTCTCTTTCCCTCTCTCTTCCTTTCTGAAATCAATAAAAAAATATTTTAAAAAACTGACTTGGATCATTTACCAATCCATAGAAGTTCACTGAAAGGCAGATATGTATTTTTTAAAATATATTTTTATTGAGAGGAAGGGGGAGGGATAGAGAGTTAGAAACATCAATAAGAGAGAAACATCGATCAGCCGCCTCCTGCACTCCCCCTACTGGGGATGTGCCCGCAACCAAGGTACATGCCCTTGACCGGAATCGAACCTGGTACCCTTCAGTCCGCAGGCCGACGCTCTATCCACTGAGCCAAACCGGTCAGGGCCAGATATGTATTTTTGATGGCTTCATAGGCTGGAGCAATGGGGATTGGAACTTAATATTCACCAAGGGAGAGAACCTAGTGTAACACTCCATGTACCGGGCTAGAAACTGAAGAACTATACTCGGGGTGTGGATGTCTATTGTACTTCCAAGGATTATTTGGATGGCCCACAAAACTTCAAACCTTATTCCTGAACTGTAAGCACTCTTAGCTATCTGCCAGAAAACTCTTTTTCAGAATAAGATAACATTGCCTTAGGTCTTACGTTATACATAAAAGTATTTTGTCAAATAAACATCCAGAAAAACCATCAAATATCACAAAACATATGATGAGGCAAAACAAAACACAGCAGGGACAAGAGAAAATGGGGGGTAGGGGGGGAACCTATGGGACCTCCAGATACTGTAATTATCAGTTACAGATTGTAAAAAGCAAGTATCCTTACTATGTTCAAGGAAATAAAAGTCTAATTTTAAAATCTCAGTAATAAACCAGAAACTAAAAAAGAGATATTGGAGATTTTAAAAAGAGTCATCTAAAAATTATGGAAGTAAAAAATACAGTAACTAAAATTTAGAATCAATGATTGGATTTAATAGCAGATTTGACACAACTGAAGGGAAAAGTAGTAGAATTGATACACAGATTGGGAAGAAAAGCCCAGAATAAGTAAAGAGGGGAAATATGAAAAGCACAGGAGAGATGACACAGAGAGCAGAATGACAAAAATAAAACATAATTTAATTGGAATCCCAGAGAGAAGGGGGAAAAATAGGAAGAGGTAATATTTAGGAATGGCTGAGAATTTCCCAGAAATATTTAAAGATGAAATGAAGGGCATCAACCTATTGTTTCAAAGATCCCAACAAAGCCAAAGTAGAATTTGGTAAAATAAATAAATAAATAAATAAATCCTTATCTAATCACACTTGATTGAAGATATAAGAAATTAAATGAAAAGTAAGAGAAGAGCCCTAGCCGGCTTGGCTCAGTGGATAGAGCATTGTCCTGCGGACCGAAGGGTCCCAGGTTTGATTCCAGCCAAGGGCACATGCCCAGGTTGCGGGCTCAATCCCCAGTAGGGGGCATGCAGGAGGCAGCCAACCAATGATTCTCTCTTATCATTGATGTTTCTATCTCTCTCTCCCTCTCCCTTCCTCTCTGAAATCAATAAAGAAATTTTTTTAAAAAGTAAGAGAAGACAAAATTACCAATGCCAGGAATGAAATAGAGGCTATCACTACAAGTATCAAAAGTATAATAAGGAAATACAACAAACAACTTTACACACATAAATTTGACATCTTAGATGAAACTAACCAATTTATTAAAAATTACAAACTATTACAACTCACCTGATATGTAATAGATAATTTGGATAGCTCTGTAATCATTAAGAGAAATGTAAGCAACTTAACCAAATACAGTGTGTGCACCTTGTTTGAATTCTGATTCAAACCAAATCTAGTACAAAATGATAAACAATGCATATAGTAACCAAAGAAAGTTGATACAGACCTTAAGGAAACATCATTTTTAGAAATAAGAAAGGTTTCTTCCTCATGATAAAAAGTTCAGTTTGCCAGGAATTTGTAATGATTCTAAATAGCTATACATCTAATAATATGGCATTAAGTAAATATAGCAAATTTCAAAATAAACTACATGGGAAAACAAATTCACAATCATTCTGGAAGGTTTTTAATATCATCTCTCAGTAATTGGTAAAATAAGTAGACAAATGATTAATAATGATGTAAAGATTTGAATGACATGATTTTATTTATTTATTTTTTTAAAAAAATATATTTTATTGATTTTTCACAGAGAGGAAGGGAG